CCGCGATTCAGCTGCGGCATATTTCTCTGAAGCGAAGCAAACCGTCACCATAAGCTCGAGATTAAACTCGATAATATTCGCAAATTAACATACTTTGCTTTCGCGTAACGAATGGCCGGTAATTAAGCGATATTACTGTCGACTTTCTCGAACTCGCAATGCACAGATGGGGAAAAAAAGTCTGTGGTGAAATTAAATTCGTAATCGCGGTTGCAGCGAGATTTCGCGATTACGAAGAATACATTGTAAAATACGAATCGCGCACAAAATGTGTAACGCATTAAAGTTGAAATTTTCAATTATGATGTAAAGAATTATTTAAGAGAGAATTTATTTATGTTTAGGAATTTTATATATACATTTATATATAATCATTTATATATAATTTAAATTCTGAGCTTCATAAAAGATTTTAAAAAAAAGACAAAAAGATAAACGACTTCGAAAGTTACATTTACGCGAAATGAAATAAATTTCCGAATAAAACAAGACCATCTATATGTATAATAGTTAAGCTATTTGATATATACAATATTCTACATTCTATCGTAATCAGAGAATGAGATACATATCGCTCGAAGTGTCAAAATTATCGCACTTGACGTGCGCGTGCACTCCCGTAAATCTTTCGTCCCCGCGATGTACAATTGACGGAAACGCAAGCCGCAACCCTCGGACGGTAATTCATTGAAGCGTTTTCTGCGTGTGTATGTGTCGTTTCTCATGCGAGAAAGTGCACGCATACCAGCAAAAAACAGCGCATGTGTTGTCCAAGCCGCAACGTGGTCTCGGCCGCACGTAAGCTTTTGCGCGCGTGCTTATGCGTATGTATGAATGAAAGAGCAACGGATATGAAGGAATACACGAAGAGAAGGGAGTCGCGTGATAGATTCACACGTGTGTGTGTGTGTATGTTTGTATGTATGAGTATGTATATGTGTACTACGAAAAGGTGTATCCAGTCACGAGTAAGTACACGAACGTGTAAAACGTGCTTATGCTATGACATGTGGATTTTGTATATATCTGCGTATATATCTTATTGTTTATCTTTTAGTTCCCTTTCGTGTCAGTATGGATTAAGATAAATATTGATAAATATTGACATATCACATAAATTTCGAAAAGTTTGCGGACTACTTTTCGCATCGATATTTTACTTGATACGTATATTGCTTTACAAATATTATTTTGTATATATCTGCGATTATTGTTTATCTTTAGTTCCCTTTCGTATCAGTATGAATTAAGATAAATACTGATAAATATTGATATATCACATAAATTTCGAAAAGTTTGCGGACTACTTTTCGCATCGATGATACGTATATTGCTTTACAAATATTATTTTGTATATATCTGCGATTATTGTTTATCTTTTAGTTCCCTTTCGTATCAGTATGAATTAAGATAAATACTGATAAATATTGATATATCACATAAATTTCGAAAAGTTTGCGGACTACTTTTCGCATTGATATTTTACTTGATACGTATATTGCTTTACAAATATTATCAGGGCTATTTTTTATACTATCTTTAAATTTTTTAATTCATCAATTTAATTTTTAATTAATCAATTCAAATTTTTCTCCCAAAACATTTCGCGCACGTATTATAATAAATAAATCGTTAATTCTTTTATTTCTTCCTGAAAAATGATATTGATAGCCTATCGATTTGAGCATCTGTGATGCCGAGAAGTAAAAGATGGACGCGATAGAGAAAGAGAGAAAGAGAGAAGCGCAATCCACGTGGAACGAGATGGGGAAGGAAGACGGGGGAACGACGAGGCCGGAAGTGGTTTCATCTGGCTCCCCTGTTGGTCTGACCTGTTGAACCACCTCATGACCGGAAGTACACTGTACAGCTACGGGCATCGGGACGATGCCTCTACCTTCTCTTTCCTTCCTTATCCTCGTCCCCATTCTTTCCCTTGGATGCGGCGAAGAAAACAACAAAGGCTTCCTGTTCTGTATAGTGGCATCTTATCACGTTGTTTACCTGATTACGCGACCGTGATTTACTAGTTACACCAGCTGTCGGCGGCTTTGTTCCTATTTGATATCCTACTTGAATGTCTCCTTTATTTTATTTTTACACAGAAAGAATGTATACTGTATTCAAGTAAATATTATTTATTTTAAGTATATCAAGTTTGTAAAGTATATCAAGTTATGATATATTTGTCCGCAAATATATCATAAGTTCACCACAAGCATTAAATTTAATTGAATATATTCTGAATTTTAATAAGTGCAGTATTTTAGTCAAGAATATTAAATTAAAACAAGAATTTGATTTGCTTATTACATAGAGTTGGCGTAAAATAAGTTTGATTTTTCTTTGATACAACTTTACAATATTTTTGAAGAGAAAATAAATTTTTCTTTGGAATACATGATAATGAGATTTTCTAACACTTGTGATGAATAATTGATATTTTAAGACTATCATCAAGAATATATTCTTTGTTGAAAAAAACTATTACATAAAAAAAATAAAAATAAACTGAGTAATCGCTGTTCTTGGCAGTAGAATGATATTTTTCTCTGTGTAATAAGAGATAAAACTTTTAATAAGAGATCAATCTTTTTTAATAAGAATGTGACCCGCCTATTTGAAAAGAGCTGTAAATAAATCGAAATGAGTCTGCTTTAATGGCGGAGCGGATTTATTGCCTGCAACATTTGGTGGGGCAGCCCTGCAAAATCCGGAATGGTGAGATAGGGGTGAGTCGGAGAGAGAGAGAGAGAGAGAGAGAGAGAGAGAGAATCGATTCCGCGCGCTCTAACTAACAATGAGGGACATGGATGCGTGGCCGAGACAGGTCCGGGGACCATTGTGTGCTCCAGCACAATACCCTGCAGCCGGGAGCAGAGAGTATGTGCGCCATAATAATCTGTCACCCCGTATAGCACTCTGATGCGTATGTCCCGCATAATACGTGCCGAGAGAGAGAGAGGGAGGGGTAGAAAGAGAGAAAGAGAAGGAGAGAAAGAAAGTAGGGGAAAGAGGGATTTAGCCATTTTTGCCTTATTCCGTAACATCAAAGAGACTTTTGCATGATCGTTGATGCTGACGAAGGGCAGAAAAATTGCAGGACAAGTGCACATGTATACGTACACAGCTCGCCATATGTAACACGAATTTATTATATACCTCTACATACTTTTTAAGAAGAGATTTATTCAAAATGACAGATTTTTTTTCTCGTGAATCAATTAACTTTTAAAGATATTATTAGGTTGTAAAAATGTATTTTTTTCTTTAATCTATCTCCTGCCAAAATCGAGTCTGTTGGCGTTGAATTTTAATTCTTGAAATTATTGACGAAATAATAAATGTTGGCAAAAACTTGGCTCGGATTTTTTTGGACAGAAAAGCCTTTAATCTTTCTTTTTTACGCGAACATTGACGAGTCAGGATACGAAGGAATCGAAGAATGAAAAGGAAGGAAGCGCAGATGACGCGCAATCGCTGCCTCGGCGTGTGCTCGAACGTTATACATTATACGGTATTAGAAAGGTGAACCCCTGAATTAGGGCAGTTGGCAAATATCCAGATTAGGGGTCTTCCACGCGAATCTCCGTCGAAACTCGGTTATTCCGTGCGGCACGTACCACAGAGAGTTATCGAACTTCTCCGCAAAAAAAGAAAGAAATTTAACTCGTATCCGATTTTCGCGATGCACCTCAATTTTACAATCATTTCACCTCGAACAAAATTTAGTTTTAACTGAAATCTAAAATTAATACATCATATTGAATTTTTAAATACTCGGACACTGTCAACGGGTATCTTCGATAAATCAATCGAGATAAATATCGATCGATTATCGCAATCTCATACGAGGCCAATCGGTTTCGAACGGAAAGTCCCTCGCGTGACTACTCTGCGCACGGCATTTCATTAACTGATTTATCAAATTCGATCGTACGGGCACTAGCGGCTGGCAAAATGCCTCCTGACATGTGCGCGGAATTTCAGGCCGACAAATTAAGTTTAGATATTTCTGCGAGACACACATTACGGCTGGTTGCAGGTGCATCGCGCGACTTAATTACATCGCCAACTCGATTCCTCGATTCCCCAAGGAATCCTCTCTCTCTTTCTCGTTTCGTTAAAATTTCTCAATAACCGTTTACTCTCATTCGATCATTTTTTATTCATCATTTTATTCATCCTTGTGCAATTTTATTATACATATGTCGACTTCGCATACGCAAACGATCTAAAGCGCTGTCGGGAAAATGTCACGATCGACAAACGCGAGATCCATTTCCTCCGCCATTTTTCCCCGTATTTCATTCGCTCGTCCATTAAAAGGTACTTCGATATCAAAATGAATTTTTCGCCCTTGGTATCACGAACGAACGATCCGCCGCGTCAGCCACACGCTACGCAATACGCACGCATACGTTCGTCGCGAGCGTAAGAAACGTAATACGCTTAAAAAGAAGGGCATGACGTCACGCGCGAGGTGGTGGCACATGGCGCGTGCCGCCGGATCCGTAGATGGGGTACGAATTATCGTGACGCTCGCGGCGGAGGGGGGAAAAAATCGCGCGAGCTGTGCCACCACCCTGCGGACGACGCTCCCGCGCGGGAAGGGGGGTGCAAGCAGGGGGCAGGCGCCCCGAGGTGTCCGCGAGCGAGCGAGCGAGCGAACAGGCCAGGCGGACAGGCGGGCGAGCGAGAGGTCCGCGCGAGTGGCTAGGGTGTCGTACGCAGGGACTACGCACGCGGTGGTGGAGGTGGGCGCGTGCAGCCGGCCTGCAGCTGCCTCTTGACGGCAGCCCCCTTTCCTTCCCCGTTCCCCTCACCCTCTCTCTCTCTCCGGCCCGCTGCCGCGCTCCCTCCTGCCCGGACGCACGGTCCCCGCGCGTCCCGCAGGCCCACGCGTCGCGCCACCGGCGCAGCCGCCATCCACCACCCCTCTGATTCGGTCGGGCACAACCCCTCTTCCGCCTGCTCCGGGGCGGCGAGGGGGAAGCCACAATTATAAGTAGGGGTACTCCCAGCCTCGCTACCTCCAGTCGAGGGTTGCACTTTGGGACGGGCATGCGCGCGCGCTATCACTCGTCGCTCAACCCCACGCACGCACGCAATGCGCGGGAGTAGGGAATAGTACGGGACACCCGGCAGCGAGGAATATTTTTTTTTTACACGAGGTATGAGAGAAGGCGGAAATCTCGCATACGTATATATTTATATATTTATGTGCATATATACACGCGCATCATATATATAGTTGATTCCTGCGAGAGAGCGAAGGGGATCGGGACGAGCGAGAGCTCGCCATCTGTCGTTGGTACTCGCGCCGGTACCAGAGTGCTTCGGTGGTTGCCGCGAGTGCCGCGGTGTGGCGTTAGTGCGACCGATTTAGTGGCGCGAACGTACAACTACCCCGGAGGAAGAATAATCGAGAGGAGAGGAGCGATAATTTATGATCAACGGGAAGGATAAATCCTGGTAAACCCAAAGAAACTAAGATTAGGAAAAGCGGAGACGACTTCCGCGTCAAAGCGACGTCTCTGGAGCTTTCAACGCCGGTTTCGAGAGCAGCGGACGCACTCGTCGACGCGACCATCGGTACTAATCTGGTGACTTTGGCATCCACCCCTGTCGGCCGGTTCACCCCCTTCCTCGGCGAAGAGGGATCGCGCGAGACGGGCGCATTGACTCTCGTTCATCCTCGAGACCCCGTCACGCGATCCGTGTGCGGCATCCTTAGCTCCACCCCACCGCCGCGCCGAGCATCCCCCACCACCGTCGACTCCCCTCCCTGCAACGTCGCTCCTCTCCGGAGCACGGCGCTGCCGATCGCCGAGGGAGTATTCCTCGCGGCGCGATCACGGCCGATTCAGTGTACGACCCGTCGTTGTTGCGACGATCTACAAGGACGAGAGCATCGTAGCTTGTCGTTCCAGTGTCCGTTTTCGCTCGTTGGCATTTTTTCTTTTCTTTTTATTTTGAGAATTATGACCGCGACGGGTTCGTGACTCGTAAGGAGGGAAAAAAAAGGGAGAAGAGGAATCGCGCGACGATCATCGAATCATGGAACAGGAGAGAGAGAGCGAAAGAGATAGATAAAGAAAGAAAGAATCCTTCGCGGTACTTTGCACCATCTATCATCGGGTCTGTCGTCTCGTCTCACGGATATATACTGGAATAAAGTGTGTCAACGTCAAAGTGTGTAAAAAAAAAAAGAAAAAAGTGAGCTATCGCGCATGGTAATGTAAAATAGCGGCGCGCGCGCGAGTGCAAAAAGTGGTGAGATAGCTACCCTCATTCGCGTCCCATTCGCTACGCGCTCCCGTTCCCGCAAAACGACGGCGACGGCGACGAGGGAAGCGATCGGGACGATCGACGAGAGTACCGGACGCGACGCCGGCTATGCAGCAGCGGCTCGGCGACGCCGCGGCGAGCAGGTAACGCCGACGACGACGAGCAGCAGCAGCAGCAGCGGCCCGCTGCCGCTCACCCCTGCCGCGCGCCTCTCCCCCCGCCGCCCATCGCCGCGGAAGAAGCGCCGGGCGGCGCGTGAAACACCGAGGGATAAGTGACGCGTCAACATGTGGACCACGATGCTCGTGTGGACGGCCGCCGTCGTTCTTCTGCCGACGCCCCGAGCGGTAAGTAAGGCTATTTATTTACTCCCCTTGGAGAGTATCTTTCTTTCTTTCTCTCTCTCTGTCTCTCTTTCTCCTTTCCCTCTCGATCCCCGAACGATTCGAACAAGGAATTTGATATGTAAATATCAGGCGATATCGTGGCCCGATCCATTGCTTCTTTATCGGAGATTAGAAAGTGACGTGGGAAAAATCTTGACGCTAGATGATGGGAGAATAAAACGCAATGAGACGATCATATGATTTCCGATTCGCGGAAATGACACACGAGCACGCGCGTTCCCTCGATATATTATTATTGTTTATACGAATGGATTGTTTATCCTCTGGAACACCGTTACGCCGCGTGTTGTCATCATGTAATTATTAGCACGAGACGTTTGTCAACTTGTGCCGGCTCGACCTTGGGCATCGCGATTTGATGAGTGAGCTTCGATAATCCTCGATACTCGGAATAAAGGTCCATATATCGCCCTGTACTTGCTCGTATATGTAGGATCGCCATTGTTGTGCGTGCGAAAGGGGAAGGAAGCGCCGCAGATGGGAAAGATTGGAATAGCATCGACGTAATCGGGGCTCGCGCTTTCGTAACTATTTGTAACGCGTTCGAGAAATGCTCTGATCTATCCGCGTTAAAAGCGACCGAGCGCGTTTTATGTTACTCGTCTCGGTGCGAGCGGTAAATAATCGCCCTCAACCGCATTCGCATCTTTCGCGTAGAACAAGTTACAAAGAGAGCAGTTTTCTCTCACGAAGGATCTTTTTATTCTAATCTTTATTCTAATCTTGTACGTATAAACAAAGTTTCGTTTTTATCTTTGACTTTAATTTCCTCGTTTGATTCCAAATTATTTCGATAGGCTTAGGAATAGAATTTCTTTTTCAAATAAATAATAGTAAACAATACTAAACAATATTCAATTTCTCTTGTTAGAGGCTTAAAATATGAACCTTCGATTAAATTATATCGAGTACTTTGACCTTAAAATATTCAAGTATTAAAGATGTTAGATTGAAAATTGTGTATGCGTGAGATCGAAGATGGGAGAAAAATTTCGACTCGAATAAGTACTCGATCGGCTCACCGATGTGTTCATTAACGGCGAATGACAGCTTGTTCCAGTTACTGTACAAAGATGCGAAGAACGTATTCTAAACACTAATTTGACAGATGAATCAGCCATTCAATTACTTGAGAGATACTTTTTATTTTCATGTAAAAATGAAATCTCTTTGAATTTATCCGACAATCGCGATATCGAGAAAAAATTTTTTTTGCACTTACAATTTAAGTTTGCTGAAGCCGCGTTTCTTATAGACGATTGAATGCGAGACGTGCATTTTTCGCGTATTATATGGCCCGTTTCTTCTCTCTCGGTTTTCTCTCCGCACGGATTCCGAGGGAATTCTTCCTGGGAGAGATGTCTCCCCCTCTCGCCCCTTCCCTCGCACCCCTCTTCTCTTACTCTCTGTCTGCCGTGGATCCTTCTCGCGTTCTTCGTACACATCTCTGCCTTATCTCTCAGCGATGCCAAAACCGCTATTCGCTGAAGCACGCAAAATTGATTTCGTTTTTCTAGAATCTTTTCTAGTATTTATAAATTTTTCAAATTTCATTAATCATCATAAAATAATATGTACGTTTAAATATGCGATTAAGTATCGTGTCTAGCACAATTTTTTAATTATTTTTTATTCCGCTTTTTCATACTTTATTTAATTTTATCCAATCTTTAATACCGCGTTCCATCAAGGATATTCTCTTCTTTTGAAAGGATTCCTACCTCTCTGAACATAAAATTCTCTCCTCTTACCATCCCGAGCAGTAAGATCGTTCCTAACGACGGATTCGGTGGCGGACGCAACTCTAAATTTGGAGATGTACTCTTTTAGAAGTGTCTAACCCTGTTTTTTTATATCTCTCTCTTTCCCCGATGGTGCTTCTAGCGATGGTTTTAAACCACATTTGACACTTATTCTCGATCCTTAGGATTCGGCAGCATTTCGGTAAGCGGTCGGCGAAATTCTTTGTAACACCGATAAGTCGGCGGCGAGAGGTAAACCACTGAGGGCATTGCGGTGTACAGATTTGAGGCATTGCTAGACTTATTGGGCATTGTTTGGAAATTACTGGCGTTTCTTGGACATTAGTGAACATTACTTGGGCATTGGTGGGCATTACTACACTGAAAAAATTGTATTCTCAACTTAAGAATATGCCACTTATCTTTATATATTCTAAAGATATATATTCTAAAGATAAGTGGCATATTCTTAAGTTGAGAATACAATTTTTTCAGTGTAGGCATTAGTAAAAAATTTGGCAGTAATGTAATTACTAGACAATAGCAAAAATTTAGCAGGAATTGGGCATTAGTGTACATAATTTTGATCAGCCTCGGTTTACCCCTCGGTCGGCGGTCGGCGCACAATCGGAGGCTAAACTCTTCTTTCAAAGGCGTCTGAAGGGTGAGCCGAACGGCGAAAATTCGTTTTGCGTGTGACGAAACGCACCGTTTTGTCTCGATGTTGCCGCCGCATGGTGTGTCGTATCCGTAAATACGCGTGGCGGCCATTCTCAGTTCCCAGAATAAACTTCCAGCGCGCCAAAAATGAGATTCCTCATCGTGAGAGGGCAGCGCCGAGAAAGAGAGAGAGATGCGTGTGCGTATCGGTGCGTCCTTACACGCAACTCTCGACGTCGCGCGCTCGTTTAATCGTTTACTTTCGTGAGATACGGACTAACGGGACGGGGATCCGCGACCAAGTGCATCGACTGTAAATCCCGCTTCAAATGCAACGCGAGGTACGGCGATTGAAGACCTGTTCTTATCGCGAAGGGTATTCGCCTTGACATTCGCGTACAAGTAAGAGCCAGGCTGCATTAGATTTAAACACAAAACTACGGTAAATTTCGCTTAAAGCTCAAAGATATATAAATTTGATAAAAAAATATGATATGAATAAATTTGATAAAAAAATATGATATGAATTATTAAATATTAATATTGCCTATCTTTATATTACAGTTTCTGGGCAAAAAATATATATATATATATATATATATATATATATAATGAAAAGTAATGCACGAAAATGAGATAAACAGCCTATTATTATTCCTTCTTTCATTTTAAAAATAGTCGATCGAATTGTCCCGAGATATAGCCTTTATTCGCAAACGAACGTTTATTTATATCGTGCAAGGTCGCGTGAAGTATATATACTTATTTTTCAAATTTATAACGTGTGAATCCATCTTTCAAATTTACAGTCAAGTATGTACAAAATTATATATAAAGGAATTTTCAAGATTCTGTTGACATTAAAAAGTCTACGCGCTATCTGTATAATAATGTCAGCTGATTTGAATAGCTCGATAGTAGACGTAGATGAGAATATTCTCGCTTTTCCGATGGCAGGTCGCGAATTTAGTTTTTTCAATGGCAATTGATAGACGATCGCGAGACGAGGAGTTCGATAAGAGGAAAGCCAGTGTCGGGCTCGTTGTTCGGATCTTTCGCTTAAAGAACCTCGCTCTCGGCTACAATATCTTGTGGGAAGCTCCGTTTCAGGAGTGCATTCGTGTGCGCTTTCGTCTCTATTACATACACACAGGGATGATCACACGTTCACGGTGGTCGAGCACTCTCGGCGTCGCGACGACGACGACAGGGAAAATGGGAGAGACATATTGGACGTCGACTCTGTTTACTCGATATAAAAACGATGTCTGGGGGGCAAATGTATCGATAGCCCGAGGAAATCGTTGAACCCGACTAACGTGTGTGCCTTCTCTATTTTTTTCCAGATCAGAAAATTGCCTTTTTATTTTATATTTTGTTTAACGAGTTTATTTTTCCAATCAAATAAATTGCGATAATTGTGCTAGTTAATCGCCAACCATGATATTACACCGTCGAAAAACGCGTCGATTGACGCGTCCTTTTTTATTTTGTATCTTCGCGAGCCGGTTCTTTACTCGGTAATTTCGTTAAGCAGCGCTTTCGTGAGCCAACTAGAGCGTTGATGCATTTACGAGCTTGGTTGGCCCCTTTTTGCAGGCGGTTTGCATCCACATGGAATATCCCTGTCGCGGTTTTAGCAAGAGCATCTTGGCATTTGATCAAATGACTGAGTAGCAGGAAAATATGTCGATGGGCATCGTTTCACTTACCGAATTGAGATGTTATTTGAATTAATATCAAAATTTTTAACATTTTTTAAGAGACACCTCAGCTTTATTCCTTATATAATTTCCTTCATTTTGAATATATCGTATAAAGGCATTAAAGAAAAAATTATCCTGCAATTTGTTATTTCGAACATTTGGCCAAGCCACTGACCACCATTTCTTCTCTTGTAAAGTGAGAGAGAAAATGATCAACTAAACTGAGCGTAACATGAATCGACGCGGACAAAAAGCTAAATCGTCGAATTTGCGGTAAATCGTGGTGTATTTTCGTAATTCGATTATAATGGTGAAGCGCGAGCGGTAACGTCTCGGGGATGCTACATGTCTTGTGCAAAGAGAGGAGGGACGCGCGCGAGCTTTTTGTCGGCTCGACTTGCTTCTCTCCTCCTGGGAGACGTGCGTGACACGTCCGCAAAAACGCGCGCGCACACGTGCTCCTGCGGCGTTTCACGTCGTGGGGCACGAGACGACGATGACCCCCCTGTCTCGCGAGCGAAGAGAGAAAGAGGGAGGGAGGTCTCGTTTGATAGCGAGTCTTGTTCATGTGTCTCGTGATGATTCGCCGCCAACTGTCGACCAGACCGACATTATTAAGATCGCATTACGATCCCACGCGGAGCTATTAAAGATACTCTCTCGATACCCTGCAATATTCGACGAGAGCCCCTCGAAAAGAACCCCTTTGACACTTGTGATTAAAAATTAGCTAATAAAAATTAGCTTTATATTTATTTTTCTCGTCAAGAGAGAAAGAGAGAGAGAGAGAGTTTCTATTTTAATAATTTTTAACAATTGCACAATTTTTGCAGATTTTACTAAGCGAATAAACCGCTAAAATTGATCATTTCTTTTATTTAATTTTAAGTGCTTTGCTGTTGAATTTTAATATGTTTTTAATTCGAGTCGCTATAGTTCTTGGAAAGCTATGCGTGCACTCGCTCGAGGGAATTCAAACGCGTGTGTGTTTCACAGGTGAGCGCCTCGGGGATGTTCGAGCTGAGGCTAAAGTCTTTTGTGAACGAGTACGGCAAGGACAGCCTGGGCAAGTGCTGTTCCGGCAGCGCGTCCAAGACGGGCGAATGCTCGGGGGTATGCAAGACGAGGTTCCGGGTCTGCCTGAAGCAGTACCAGGTGAAGATCGACACGACGTCGCCGTGCACGTATGGCGACGTCGTGACGCCCGTTCTCGGCGAGAACGTGGTTAACCTCAGCGCGAATGCCGCCCTGCCGAGCTTCACCAACCCCATCCGGTTCCCGTTCGAGTTCACGTGGCCGGTAAGTTTTTCGCCCGTTATATTTTATGTGTCGTTTAATCGAACCGAGAAATTGACGGTATCTTCTCGAATTTATCGAGAGATGAAAGGTATACATCATTCATCATCGTTGAATTAATTAGGATATTTGATTGAAGACTTTTAATTTCGTAAAATATATTTATCGATAAAAATTTAATCAAGTATTTTCTCTAAGATACTTTTAATTCTGGAACACTAAATCTAATGGAGATGAAAAAAATTTAGAGAAAGTTTGGAAGTTTTTAACTTACCATTTTTGATATTTTATTTTATTTTTTTATTGATTTAAAATTGCATAAATATTTCTAAAAAATTCCTGAAAAATGGAATAATGATTAAATCTATGTAAACAGTAATGATTCTCGAAACGGTGTGTTTTAGAATGAAAATTATTTTAGTTTCCCAGCAATATTTTTATCAAGAGAAAGTTTGTTAAACTTTCTATAGTTGATTTGTAATAATGGCAAATCACCTTGTATTCTTCTGAAATAATAACATGATACGATCGTAAACACTCTGCTGTACACGTAGGATAGACGACCTAAGACAACCTAAGGGATATATCATTGTCGAATTATACACAATGATTTATAAACTTTCACAAGACGCTCGCGAACAACCTCTCGCGAGGTTTACAAGAGGCGTGCGCGCGTTGAAAATTTTTTGCCAGAGTCGCAGATTAGCATAAACGTTTTCAATGTGGGAAGTAAGAAATGTCGACGACCGTGTGGTAATAGATAACATAGTTGCATGTTCCACATAAATTCGCGTGGTGCAAAATACAAGAAGCGAAAGAAAACTCAACCTCTGTCGTTATTTTTCTCCTATAAAGACTTGCGACACCTTAGACAATTAAAGGCCAAGTGTTGAGAGTTTCTTCCGGTCTTGGTGACACGATGCGGATTTATCATGTTAAAAACAAATAGATTGTAAATTGATCCCCATTATATAAAACAAACACATATTATTTGATTCAAGTCAATTACAGATGCATTCGATTAATTTAATTTAATCGATTTTAATTCGCAATTAACGGTAGAAATAAGACGGCAAAGGTAAAGGAGGAAAGAGAAAAAGCCGACAGCGATGCGGACTCTCGGAAAAGAACAATGCTTTCCGTTCGTTTAACCGCAGCTGGTCACGGATGCTAATCGGGCGAGTGTATTACCTGACTTCGGTCTCGTTGCAGCAAACGCCGGAACGGAGATAAGGGACACGCGCGGAGAAATTACGTGCGCGAAAACGAAATCGCATCGTCGATCCCCTATACAACGTACGACGATCCTATCTCGCGCGGAAAACAGTCTCGCTCTCGGTCCGGCCGACCGATAATTAGCGCGGAAGTGGCCGGGGAATCTCTCGCGTGCGCAAAAGATCGAGCGAGAGGATCCCGTGCAGCTCCTGAAGGTTCCTCGCGAAGATCGAGACGATCATCGCGATGATCGGCCCGACGTTTTTCCCCGGATTAATATGCGCGTTATATCGCAAAAATCAAAATTGCATCACCACCGAACGGTGAATAATTACGAAGCGAGTCGGCGGATTGGAGATTGCTTATCGGCCGGTCACCCTAGTTGTCGATGCACGTGCGATGCGTGCGGGAAGTGGCGAGGAAGACGTTGCACGCGTCGCCGCTCGCATTTGCAACAGGTCGGCGGCGGCGCAACGACTCGCACGCTCGCCCGACTTTGATTTCCCGTCTCGCTCGACGCGCGCAATTAACGAAAAGGGCGGCGTTGGGTACTTTCTCCGTATCGTCTCTGCGTGTTCCTTTCTTTTTTGCTTCCTCTCGCGTGCGCGCAACGCGCGTAGGATCGACGCGCTCTTCTCGCATCTGCTTCTTCCCTTCCTACTTCGCGCGCTGCTGGCTGCCAACGCGTACAGACAGGTCGATTGTGCCGAGGGAATGCTTGAGAAAGAGAGAGAGAGAATATGTAAGGGTTGCGTTCGGCATCTCGCTTTGCACGCGCGTGCGTGCGCGGTCGTCGGTGCGCGATGAAAGAGAGAGGGCTAGAAAAAAGAACAACGAGGGAGAGTAACACTTGTCTCTCCCTTCTGCTGTTGCTCGGCGATGCTGCGGTTCTCATAGCCGAAATTTGCGACTCTAATGCGATGATAAAAGTTGGGTGGATCGATACGAAGATTGAAAAATTGTTCACTTCTCAATATAATATATATTATAATTTATTTAAATGACATAAATAACGTGATATTTTTCTACATAAAATTTTTTAACGTATGTTCATTATTCTATTTTATTTGTCTTATGTAGTAAAATTCCTGGCCATGAGCGACAATCGATGTTATATATGTCGCGATAAAGCGCGACAAACAGATACTCAATGAGATAAACATATATATATTCAAGGCTATAATAAAAATACACTATTCACGCAGCATGTATCGAATCGAATCGTACAGATTGCTCGTGACGTGAGATTTACAAACATCTTGAGTCGATTTGGTAAAACACATAGAAAAGAAAGGATAGACTAAATAATACGCGAGGAGGTAAAGAGGAAAGTACGTGAGGCCAGACGGGCAAAGAAAGGAGAGATTTTTTTGTTTCACGGATGAGTCAATGAGATCGGGCCATTGTGCTAAAACTAACAAGCGAGCCAACGTGCAGCATCCTTGGACGTACGTCAATCCTCTCGTGTCGGTGCTCGCGCATTTTCTGACTATGAGACCGGCTCTTGCAGAGCCGCCACCGCCAGCAGCAGATGGCCGGGGCCTCTTTTGCGCCTCTACACACTTCCCACGTACTCTCCTTCTACCTTGTGCTCCATCTCTCTCTCTCTCTTTCGTTCTCCTTGTGGCTCTCTCGCTCGCAAAGTTAAATTTACTAACCCATATGGTGCCCCTCGCGCCTCTAACGAGCGCTCATCTTTCTTTCTCTCTTTCCTTCTCCATCATTTTCTCTCTTTTCCTCGCGTACAGATTCTTTTCTGCATCTGTACGCTTTATTTTCCTTCTTATTTTTTATTAACAATCTTTTTGCATCAATTTTCCTTGATATTTATTATTGATGCACTTTACATTTGCATGTTAGATATCGCGAGTATTAAACAGACGAGAGACTTTTGACCTGTGGGAGGGCAAAATAAGAGCCAGCTTTCTCCCTCTCTTTCTCGCCTACACCCGGATGATATACGGGCACGTGCGTTCCTTGACGTTTACCGCCGGTGGTTTGTAAACCCGCAGCTCCGCGGCTGATAGGATTATCGCGCACCAATGTCGAAATTATCCCGAGAGCGATTGCCGATGGCCCCGGCGGCTTTTGATGTAGCGGCATCGAACTGAAGCCGGTAGCCGACCGACTACTACTCATCTCGAGTTCTCGGAAGACGACCCGACACGCGGTCGTAGTTTCGCGAAGAGCTTTCTGGACCGTTTCCTGACCGATTTTCTGGCGGACGGGCTCGTTCCGGATATCGTCGGCGCGAAATAGTTGGAAACCGACGTAAGCCCCGCAATCGCTATTTAGAGTACGCGATTTATTTTCGTAGCTTGAGAGAAAAGCGCGCGAACGGCTTCGACTATAACTTACATTCTAACATATGTCTCTACAATCGGTTTCTCATCAAGAGGAATGCGCGTGGGGAGAAGCGGTGATATTAAATAATTTCATTCCGATAGCTATTAACGAGTACGATTTAATTATGACACACGCACACATTAACGCACCGATATATACTATTTTATTACTAATTAACCTGTTTTTCGATTTTTTATCCAAGCATATTGCGATAATGTCGCTGCAAAAAAATGACTTGTTACTCTTATAACGCTCGTTTCTGCGCGATTTTACGAGGCGACGTGTAACGAGCGATGGCAAAAAAGTGAATTAACTCGTTGTTACCGCGGCTGATCACGGCCGAGTTCGCAATTAGTAAAATGACTCGCTCACTCGGATCGTGTGTGTGTGTGTGTGTGTGTTTCGCGCGAACATTAGACGAGCAAGAACCGATAAAATACACTATAAATAACAGTTGCGTGCAACGCGCATAAATCACTTCCGTGTCGCATCCGAGACGCGCGAATTAACGGCCTTCTCCGTTCGCTATGCTTAGACAACTTCATTAAGTATCTTTACCTAATTAACGGTTCGACACTCAATGAAAATCGCATAATATACGATCGACTCGTCATTTTGCGTCATCATCGCACTTCGGTTAAAACGTTTGAAGCGAGATTAATCGAAAGAAACATCCCCTCGCATCCTCCACGTAAATTTTAGAAAAATAATTTTTTTGAAAAGTTTTTTCTGTTTTTTTTTTAATTTTTAAAAAATTTTTATTTTTTAGTAAATTTTCATTAAGTTTTCTAGAATTTTTTAACGATAAATTTTCACACGATAACTTCAAAATTATTAATATACTCGGCATCTTGATAAGATACTCTGCACCAATACATAACGTGACGGGTCTGTCGATGCATAATCGTAACATTTGCAGACGCAGTGATTTCTTACGCGTGCGTGCGTACGTGCATGCGTGCCGGTCGGCAACAGTCTCTTATGCGCGCGCCTTAATTGGCTTTACGTTCGTGTACACGAGCCGCCTTATTAAAACAGCACGAGGCGCGATCCGCGACAGTGCGGCCACTGTGTTCGCGAGTTGCGCGATTTTCCGCACGCTAATCGCGCACACGCGCATACGTATCTCCATTCTTTCTCATCATTTTCGTAAGGTCGCCTGGGAATTCACCATTCTATTTTTACTCGATCATCGTAACTTCCTTCCGCGATAATCTCACGCGTTATTAGGTGGGAGACGGCGTCGGGAGTCGCGTTATGAATGAGGTGAGCGCATTAATCGGGAAAAAAATCGTAATCATGTAGATTAATGCGAGTAGTCGAACTAATAAATGGAATAATTGACACCGACTTTTAGGAAAGATGCATCTGCGAGGTACGCTAGAGATTAATGCGTGTACGATATAAAAATACATGAATCATCTTGACATTCCTTCCCTTTC